ATTGAACGTATAATATTCATTTTACTGCATGAAATGTATAAGAAATGTTTTATTATTTTAAATTTTCATTCGAAGCCTATGTTGGGTTGCAAAGCTATAAATTCATTAAATAGGACATGTTTATAGCATATATTTCAAACATTTATAAATAAACAGTAAAGCAATGAAATTCAATATAGACACTATTTTCAACCCTTATATAGTTTTTTAATAGAATATAAAAAAGATTAATTATTTTTCGATTAAAAAATGGGTTTACAGTTTATTAAAATTTAAAAATATATTAATTTAATCAGCTCATTTTTGACATATTCCTCATGGTAGATTATAAGCTATATGTAAATCCGGCGGCCTTTCTCAAGTCTATCAAATAATCACAGTCAACCCTATCGTTTTCATATTAATTAACATTAATATATTCATTCATTGACTCAACTCCAAACAAATTATCATTCAATTTCATAAGGTTTTAAGTTCGACTCTCCATAAAAATTATTTAAATATTCTTAATTTGCAGTGTGCTGACTAGGAGCAAGTTAAATATGAACAGTCTAAGTTGATGATCACTTTATTGTCTTTGTCCGCTAAAATGACAAAGTCAATTTCACCTAGAATAAGATTACAAAGTTTCTTGTAAATTAAATATGTTTATTATAATATATAATATAATATAACCTATTACCATTAATTGATATAAATATGCACACATATTCTACTTGCCAATAATGCAAATGTTGAAAATGATGATGAGCACTAAAGCTAACAAAGAGAGCAAATTCAGTAGGCGCATTAAAGCGCCTATTAGAGTTTTGATGAGAGCCAGAGATTTCTATATCCGGAGCTTGTCGGATTGTTCTGGGAAATTCGGGTCCGGCGCGGTGGATGTAGTCGGTGGTCCGGCGCCGTATATTTACTCCCTGCCTAGGAGCTTTAGCGTGGCGTCGTCATCGGCGTCAGGCGTGGAAGAGGACATGAGAGAGCTTATTAGGATCGCTTCCACGAAAAGCCTCGGGGGGAAGGTGGAGGCGGAACTTCTCCGGCGGCGGCAGCAGCCGTTGAGGAGTGGTTCATCTGCTGCCGGAGGAGGAGGAGGAATGCGGAACGCGTTGCCGCGTAGCCACACGGTGGCTGTTGGGAGGATTGACGAGGACAAGCCGTGTGATTTCGGAGATATTAAGGTGGTTCCGGTTGCTTATCCCAGAAGTAGAAGCTGCGCGGTTTCCGGAAGGAATAGGATTCCTTAAGCAAATCTCTGATAGTCAAACCGAAAATACGTTGTCAACTATCATCTTATATTCCTAACTTTTACTCTCTCACATATTCTTGATGCAGATATTTTTCTGTGAATCATAATAAAAATAACTTATCCTTGTTTGTTATATCAGGAATAGAATTCCGAAGTCCCGCACTGTTTTCACTTTCAATGAATTTTCTTCACTTGATGATAATTGTTCTATAGGGGGTTTTGTTTTTTGGTTAATAATACTGAATAGTGAATACTGATGGAACCAAATGCCTAATCCTTTGTTACTGTTATTTAAAAAAAAAAAAAAAAAAAAAAAAAAAAAAAAGAGTAAAACATGCTTCAGCAGTTGGTTCATGGTAATGGTAGATCACTGCCACCTGGGCTTTGGCTCCACTGCCCATAAGGTAAAAATTGTGGCTGTGCAGGCTTAGGAGTAATTTCTCCTTATCGGTAAGTAAAACATGTCTCTTATTTGGATACTTGGTTATCGCACTTGATTATGAAAAGATGCAGTACGGTGAAAACTTAATACGGAGTAATTATTATAAATTGTTAGTACATTATGTAATAGTACAAACTGTACTGTATGTTGAAAAAGTAACAATTACATTGTAACAAAGTCAATAGTACTCAAAAGTAATACTACAAAGTGCATATGCATTAGTGTAGAATAATTGAGGTATAGAGTTGTAGAATATATGTGTGATGAAACTGATATTGTAACAACTCGTGTCACGAAACAAAAAGAAAATAACATAAGAAAATTATATATTGGCCATGATTATTCAATATCTTGTTCTTAGACCCTCTTATACTTGTTCTCATTACAAAACTTGTCCTAGACCCTTTACTAGGAAATAAGATCAAACAAACTAGAAGTATGATAGTGAGTCCCCTGACAAAGAAACAGACTGCTTTACTAATAAGTAAACTGTCTGATTCGCAAATCGCCTAAAAAACGATAAACTAATTAAAGAAATTTTCATTGATTGCTTCAAAACTTTTATAGAACGCGTTTTTATGAAATCCTTGCAACTCTTGCAGAGTTGCAGGGTCCTTGGCCCCAAACTCTGCAAGACTGCAACTGCGTCTGTGCTACTGATGGGTTTTGATATATTTGACGCCCTTCCATGCCCAAATAATTTGTATCTTCCACTATAAAATACCCTCAAAACGTTAGGCAAATGGCAGGCAGCTAGCCATTATCATGCGAAGCACATTCTCACTAAATGACAACCGTCACTGTCCTCACTGATACCTCGAACCATAGGGCAAAGAGGTTAGAAGGTGATGCCAAAATCTTGGCCATAGGAACCGCAACTCTGGCGAATTGGGTTGATCAAACCACCTATCCAGACTTTTATTTCCGCATCACAAATAGCCTAACACTTGCTGGAACATAAAGAAAAGTTTAGACAGCTAGCCGCCTATACCACCAATTATGGTGATATGCTAGGCTACCGACCAGCGTCAAATATCTAGGCGCCAATTAATCGACGCTAGGGCGGGATTTTTGCAATACTTTATTCATTCGACATAAACCAAACTTACCAACCATCCAAAAAATTCAAGTCTGTGCAAATGAGCTTGTTATTACCTGCCAAACTTTCCAAAAATACCCTACAGCTAGCATAGATATTAGATAGTAAATATTAGATATAGATATACTCGGTATTATTTATGAATCACATTTGGCAATGAAATGACTACACTGCAGACACGAATAAATGCTAACATAGAAAATATTATATAAACTCTCATTTGTTACTCATAATTCCTACTATCTCTCACGAATTATTGACAGAGACATCTTTTTAATTAGAATTCACATCATTAAATAAAAGTGAAGGAGTAAAATTTAGAAATAGAAGTACTAAAACTCCGCTAACATTATCCTGCAATTTCACTAACAGGGCGTTTGGTTGGAGAGAGGGAATTACGTGGGAAAGGAATTGTAATTCCATGGGAGATGAATTACTAGGAATAAAGTGGGAATTTAAATTCCAGTGTTTGGTTTACAGGAATAGAATTACTGGAAATTTCAATTCCAATGTTTGGTATACATGTGAATTGAAAGTGAATAAGTAGTATAAAGTAAAAAATGTTCATTGTTGTTGTTAGGCATTAAAATTCCATGAAAATGGGGGAGGGGGGGGGGGGAGGGGGGGGGGGTGGACATGGGATTTTAATTCAATGAAAATGGAGGAACTGCAATTCCATGGAATTGCAATTCCTTTCAACCAAACAAGGGAATTTTGTGACCTTTGGAATTAAGTGGGAAGGGAATTTAAATTCCTTTCAACCAAACGCCATGTAAGGGTGTGTTTGGTATGCACAAGGGAATCGGAATCGCAATGGGAATAAAATATTTAGTAACGTTAATGAGTTCTGGTGATAATATTTTGCATATTCGGTAGTAGGGTAGAATTGGAATAATTACCAATATTAATTTTTGATTATGTATGTTTCTATAATGGGAATAAATGTTTTAAAAATACAAAAATAAAAAATTAAGACAATTGATCAAAATATAATGACATCCAAATTAAAACACCAATATGAACAAAAAAAAATCAAAACAAAAATACAAAAGCACTACTGCAAACTTAAAAATTAAATTACCAATAAGACTAAATGATACTTGTTTTTAATTATGAAATGAGATTTTTAATTAAAGGAGTAATCAAATCACATAGTTGTGTTTTAAAAAAAATTGTCAATCAAACACTAATTATGATTTTGATGTAGGTTAATCTAATACAGTGTTCAAAGAGTATCATGAATAATGTGGTTGGGCTAGTATATATGAGTTCTACTACAGTGGTTAAAGGGGTATATTCATGTAGGTTCATCTAATCAACATGTCAACAGAAGTGTACAAATAATTCAGAAATTAAGATTTTTTTTTTTTCGGAAAGATTAAAGATATTTTTTTGATTGTTTCAATACTTTTATGGAACACTTAGTATAAATTGTGAAATGTGAAAAAAGAAACATTTCATTTTGATAAATGTTTATTTTTAGTATATTGAATATTTATTTTTAATATACTATAAGTTTATTTTTAGATAGTATACTAAAAATGAACATGTAATATAATATATAATTTTCAAAATAAAAACATGTACAATATAAATTTCATTAAAAATAAATTTGTATGATAGTGGTACACCATATATATTGTACGTGGTGAGAGGTGCGGTGGGGTCTAGTGCATGTGAGCTAATTAATATGTCCATTAATTCTTGGTGGATTCGAACCCCACCCCCCAATTCAGCTGTACCAACATAGATACTAGCAGATAGTATAGTGGAAACCTAATTTACCCACATGAATATATATATATATATATATATATATATATATATATATATATATATATATAACTCTTATCCCAGTACTAAAATAATATTGGGAGAGCCAAGTCAGATTATTGACTTGATAATTATAAAGTTATAGGTTTTTTAATTCCCAACTAAAGCAACTTATTAGCCATTTTGATTTGATAAGCCAATAAATTATGGACAACTTGGAGTTAGTTTACTTCTTTATGATCCTTTAGCCGCTAGGGTCAAGACAAAATTTACCTAGTAGACACTTTGTGATAGTGAATGCGCCTCTTCACTAACAAAAAAAATATTGGGAGCAGTGTACTGCGTCTATACGTGCTAGTGATGGGTTTTCATACATTTAATTAATTTGACACCCTTCCATGCCCAAGAAATTTGTATCTTCCACTATAAAATACCCCCAAAACGTTGGCAAATGGCAGGCAGCTAGCCATTATCATTCATGCGAAGCACATTTCTCACTAAACAGTGAAGCCTTAACAAAAATGTCTACTATCCTCACTAATACCTGGACCCGTAGGGAAAAGAGGATCGAAGGACATGCCAAAATCTTGGCGATAGGAACCGCAATTCCGGCGAATTGGGTTGACCAAACCACCTATCCAGACTTTTATTTTCGCATCACAAATAGTGAACACTTGCTGGAACATAAAGAAAAGTTTAGACGCATCTGTAAATACATGCATCTCATCTCATCTATATATGCACTACGTACTCACTGCATTATATTGCTCATTTCCATTTTTTTTCTTCAATTAATAGCATTATTTTTTGCAGGCAACAAGAGCAAGATTAGGAAACGTCACCTGGTTATAACAGAAGAATTATTGAAGAAAAATCCCAACTTGTGCACATACAACGAAGCTTCACTTAACACCAGGCAAGACATTTTGGTGTCGGAAGTTCCAAAGCTGGGCAAAGAAGCTGCCATGAAGGCTATAAAGGAATGGGGTCGCCCCATTTCTGAAATAACCCATTTAGTGTTCTGTACCTCCAGCGGCGTTGACATGCCCGGTGCAGATTTCCAACTCGCAAAGCTACTGGGCCTTAGCTCGTCCGTGAACCGCTTAATGATGTACCAGCAAGGTTGTAACGCCGGCGCCGCCATGCTCCGGCTAGCCAAAGATCTCGCCGAGAATAATAAAGGTGGTCGCGTTCTGGTGGTGTGCTCGGAAGTTATGTTAAATGTATTTCGTGGGCCAAGTCTAGAACAAGAAGATAATCTTTTGGCGCAATGTTTATTCGGCGATGGCTCGGCCGCCGTGATTGTTGGGACAGAGCCGAGGCCCGGTCTTGAAACTCCATTGTTTGAGTTGGTCTCTGCCGCACAAACAACCATTCCCGACACTGATTCTCACCTTAAACTGCACTTGCGAGAGATGGGGCTTACATTCCATTGTAGCAAGGCTGTCCCTTCTCTCATTACCCAAAATGTGGAGGATTGTTTGGTGAAGGCGTTCGAGCCGTTTGGAATCTCGGATTGGAATTCAATTTTCTGGATTTTGCACCCTGGTGGCATTGCCATTCTGGATCGCGTGGAAGAGAAATTAGGGCTGGAGCCCGAGAAGTTGCGAGCGTCAAAGGACGTTCTTTCGGAGTATGGGAATTTAACAAGCGCATGTGTGTTGTTCATATTAGATGAGATGAGAAAGAAATCCAAGAAAGATGAAGAGATGACTACTGGGGAGGGATTGGAATGGGGCGTGGTTTTCGGGTTTGGACCTGGACTTACCATTGATACTGTTGTCATTCGTAGTGTGCCCACAAATTAGCTAGCTAGTAATTAAGGATCGGAGTAATTTTTAAACAATTCATGCATACAATAAAACATTATTAAGAGTGTTGTTTAATTGTCATTATATTAGAGGAAATCCGGCCTACTGTTTACCATGTATGTTCTATTGTTACTACATGCATGTTATCTACTATAAATATAAATTATGCTTTCTATCAATAAAAATTGTGAAATGTGAGAAAAGAAACATTTTATTTTGATAAATGTTTATTTTTAATAGGGTTGTAAATGAGCCGAGCAGCTCGCAAGCGGCTCGGTCAAAGCTCAGCTCGAGCTCGGTCAAAATTGAGCTCGAGTGGCTTGTTTAGTAATCAAGCTCGAGCCGAGCCTATATATTCTAGGCTCGTGGCTCGTCGAGCCGCTCACGAGCCATATAATATATAATATATATAATACATAATATAATATAATATAATATAATAATATATAAAAATAACAATTAGAAATTAAAATTTTAAACTCAAAATCCCTAAAAAATTTCTATTATTTATGTAGGGATAAAACAAAGTAGTTTGAATTTTAAATCAAAAGTATTAAATAAGTCAAATTCAATTCAATGTCAAAATCGAGCTCGAACTCGAGCTCAAAATCGAGCTCGAGTTGGAACGAACTCGAACAATCGAGCTGCTCGAGCCGAACTCGAGCAGCCCGAAAATTACTGAACTCGAACTCGAGCCGAGCCTCCATTAACGAGCTCGGCTCGGCTCGTTTACACCCCTAATTTTTAATATATTGAATGTTTATTTTTAATATACTGTAAGTTTATTTTTAGATATTATATTAAAAATGAACATGTAATATACTAAAAATGAACATATAGTTCAATAAAAGTAGACATTTAATTAGTTCACTAAAAATAAATTTGTATGACATTGGTACACCATATTGTGTGGAACCCAGTCCATAGTATAATTATTGTTGTGATAATTTATGGGTATTCAAACTTTTTTCGTTCATAAATCCCCAAATAGTTTGTATCAACACTAAGGATTATTGAGCTATGATTTTTTTACCAGAATTCTACTACATGTATTCTCTATTTTTACTTCGCCATTTTTATTTCATGATGTGATAATTAATGATTAGACTGCCATTATTCCTGCAAATTTGGGATTGACAAAAGTGACATAGCATTTGTTATAAACATTTATAATTTTTTTTATGCTTAGTAGGATTGCAAATTTGCAATTGTTATGTTGTGGAACCGTGCCACTTTGTAAGGTGGCACGGTTCCAAACGACGTTGTTTTCATGTGGTTGAGTAACGGTGCCAACGGCACCGTTATGCTCCATAATTTCTATACTTTAGATTCATAATTTCTATACTATAGATTCATAAAATCTATACTGTAGATTCATAAATTTCTATACAGTAGATTCATAATTTCTATACTGCAGATTCATAATATCTGTACTGTAGATTCATAATTTCTAAACTGTACAAAAGTTATCAAATTATGAATATATAGTTTTGTGATTTGTGAATACCGAGTTCAACAATTGGGAATATGAACATCGAAAATTATGAACATATAGCTCTATAATTGTGAACATATATTTATAAAATTATGAACATATAACTCTATCACATGTTCAAAAACCTAATACTGTAGATTCATAATTTCTATATTGTATATTCATAATTTAAATACAATAGATTCATAATTTCTAAATTGTGCGATTGCGAATAGAGAAATGCCATTAACAACAAGTGAAAAACAATTTTTTTCTTTTTATAATTAGAACGGTATCATTTTCAACGAAAACGATGCCGTTGTGGAACTGTGCCCACCTTGCAAGGTGAGCACGGTTCCACGGCATAATTTGCCTCAAATTTGCATAAATTTGTAATCCGTACAAAAGCTGCAGTAGCTTTTGTACTTTTTTTTTTTTTTAATTTTTGATTCTTTATTTATATGTAATAAAAAAATTTAATGAAATAATACATTAAATGTCTTTAAATTTGTACTTGGGTTAATAATTTTAATGATTCCAATTACTTCAAATTTGTAAGGTTCATTTGAGGTTAAGTTTTACAATTCAAATCGTAGTATAATTTGCATTCAGTTATATACATAATACGAATAATTTCTTCTTTTTTTTTTTTTTTTTTTTTTTTGAAGCAAAAGGAACTAACTTTCATTATCAGAATTCAAAGCACTTACAACAAATAAAGGAGGTTCATCTAACCAAGTAACACAATCAGACGAAGAACCAGATTCCTTAGCTAACAAGTGGGCAACCTGATTCGCTGATCGTTTAGCAAAAAAATTATTTTTTTTTTAAATTACGTTTTTAGATTTTCAGTATTGCTATTTTTAATGTTTAAAACTAATTTAAATAAAAATTAATAATGTTTTTGGATTTTCATTTTTGTAATTTTTAATTTTTAAATTTAATTTATATTGATTAAATTTATAATGTTGAAGAGAAAATAATATTTATTGAGAAAAACATATTAATTTTTTTAAAGTGATGTAAAATTGGGGCCAACTTTTGAAAATTGATTGGATTTGCAGAAATATAGTGTCAATAGTAAATGGTTTGCAAATAAGATGATGGGGAAGTGAGATTCATTTTTTAAAGTGGGAAAGATTTACAGGGATAAGAATAGCCTTAGTTATCTTCATTCTGTGGGTCCTATGAAAATGTCAAACATCAAAATTTTGTGAAATGAAGTAAATGTTGGGAGTAGAAATAGTAATTTCCTTTTTAGAATGTGACATTATTGCTAAAAAAAAAAAAAAAAAAAAAAAAAAAAAAAAAAAAAGCATCTATCTAAGGGGTGCGGTGGGATCTAGTGCATGTGAGCGCGCTAATATGTCCATTTATTCTTGGTTGATATCGATTCAAACCCCACCCCCAATTCAGCTGTACCAACATAGATACTAGATAGTATAGTGGAAGCCTAATTTACCCACATGAATACAAAAATCTGATCTGCCAGTACTAAAATAATATTGAGAGGGTAAATTGATCAGACTATTGACTTAATAATTATAAAGTTGTAAGTTTAACTCACAACGGAAGCTACTTATTAACCATTTTGGCTTGAAGAGCCAATCAGTTATAGTACTAATTCCCTTGTTTATAAGGTTTATGTACATGTATGTAAATATATGAACAATGAACAAAGGAAAGAAGAACAATGATGTAGATTAAAAGGTTTTTTTATTAATTCAAGTGTGTTCTTGGGTGTTCGTTTGTAGAGAGAAGGGAGAGCCTTCTTGGTAGAGAGAGAGAGTCAAGAGAGGAAGAAGCTCCCTAACTTAGAGGGTCAAAAGCCCTTTTATAGGCCTAAGGTGGCGGGATTGACCCGTCACACTTGACTTTGACCCGTAGATCGGTCTCGAACCGCTCGACCCTGACTTGACTATAAACGAGTTCATAGACGTACATGTGGTCGGTACTGGGGTATATATCCTATCAAGTTGTGGACAACTTATATTAGTTTATCTCCTCATAATCCTTTGCCGACTAGGGTCAAAGAAAAATTTACCTAGTGAACACTTTCGAATAGTAAATATGGGTTTCTGACATTTCTCTCCACTTAAATACATCTCATCTATATATGCACTGCACGTACTCATCACTGCATTATATTGCTCATTTCCATTTTTTTTTTCTTTAATAGCATTATATATATTGTTTAAAAGATGAATTATTGAAGAAAAATCCCAACTTGTGCACATACAACGACGCTTCCATGACATTTTGGTGTCAGTCTGACAGAAGTTCCAGAGCTGGGCAAAGAAGCTGCCATGAAGGCAATAAAGGAACAGGGTCATGCTCATGCTGCCATGTCCTTTGGTGGCCATTCTCAATTGAAGGCTTGTTTTAAAAAAATTAAAATTAAAACTAAAAACATGCTGACCGTGGCAAGTTAATTTAATTTTATGAAATTTCTTGTTTTTATTTTTTTACATTTTTAATATAATTTTATTTAATATTGTTATTAAATTTATAATTATTAATTAAATTAAATTTTCTTAATTATCAATATATTATTATTAAATTTATAATTATCAATATAGTGGAGTAAAATGTTGAGTCCACAAAAAACTTAGAAAAAAATTTAAAACTAATGAGGAGAAGGATTTTGTGATTAAGTGAGATAGTATATGATAAGGTGGATGGTGGGGGCCAACAAAAAAACTTAGGAAAAAACCTCAACGGATGAGGATGTTGTAATACATAGCTCTGCATCTCTAACGATATTTAAATATTTTTGGAAGCAGTGCCCTCCCCAATTCCAAACTCAGCTACGCACGATTGAGGGAGAAGGATATATAAATATGGGACAATATAATTAAATTGATATCAATTAACATTATTAATTTTAATTGGTTACTGCGCTATGGGCAAACTATGCTAATTTATTCTTTTGTAGTTTTTATTGGCTAGAGTCACAAGTTAAAATTTACCCACTCTATACCATTGGATAGTAACTATGTCTAACTAGTTTTTCATTAAAATCTGCTATTAAGAATGTAATACATTATTCAAATAGTATCTTGAATAATGTGGGTGTGTTAGTGTGTGTGTGTGTATATATATATATATATATATATATATATATATATATATATATGAGTTCTACTACAGTGGTAACATGATATTTTCAGGTAGGTTCATCTAATCAATTTGTCATAGAAGTTTACAAACAATTCAAGATATCATCTTACGAAATTAAGATATTTTCATTGATTGCTTCAGTACTTTTATGAAAGAGTTTTAGTATATATACTCTCAAACTCTATTCTTTTATTTTTCCTCTCCGCTAACCTCATCTCATCAACTCTTTCCACTTGCAAGATGATTTGACATGCCATAATGATTTTTTTTTATTATTATAACAAGTTTGCTAAGAGCATCCACATCAGTTGGAGAGATTTAGGAGTTATTTGTGGGCCCCAGCATCCACCTCATTCTCCACTATCTCACTCAATCACGAATAACTCTTCTCCACATCAATTTAAGATATTTAGGAGTTATTTATGGACCCCACCATTTAACTCACTATATTTTAATTATTTCTTTATCCATTTTATTTATAAATTTATATTTTATTTCTTTCTCTATTTTACTCCAACATGCCTACGAAATTGTTAAAAAATAATTAAATAAAAGGATAATTAAATTTAATTACTTAAAATAAATTAAAGTACATAAAAATTAA